GGAATTACTATGGAAGAATTTAAAAAATCGCTTATATCGCTATAACTTTGCTTCTACTTGTCCAAATGTCGAAAAAATTTAGTATGTTATTGCTATGGCAATAAACAAAAAGCCTACAGTTGCTACGCTCAGTTTTGCAGCGTATCAAGAATTATAAAAATGTGAAAAAATGGCAAAATAGGGTAAATTGACAGATGAACATGTACAAGGCAACAACGCCAATTTCATCGCAACAACAACAGGCTTGTTGATCATTGTCATGACAACCACATATTTTTTTTTTTCAACGTTTGGACAACTACAACCAAAGTTAGAGCAATGTAAACGAAAATCAATAATTTCCCATACTAATTCACCAAAATCTCCATACAAAATCCAAATCATTGGCGCGACCTCTAAACCTTCATCAATCTTTACCATTTTTTGCACAGGTTCATATTTTGGGGCTATGAATCGAACTGGAGGGTGGCCTATCAAAAATTCATCACTTTTTTCAAAATGAAACACCCTAATGTCGGTGTCACTCAGACGATCGCTACACATCGCATAGCAGATGAAAAATCTATATTCATCAAGTTCAAATCAGAGGATTAGATCATAGAGGTAACTCTAAGACCAGAAGGTCCCGAAGAAACGAGCTCAACTTTTTGGCTCAGCTCTGGAACTCCTCGAAACATAGGAAAATCCAAGGGGGGCGACACATCTAAATCTCAATTTTAGATGCTCAAAAAATCTCACACTAGCGAATCAATTTTCGAAAAATCTTCTTGCATTTCTCGCATATACTTGCATCGCGCATCATTTTTTTGCAGGAAATCTTCAGAATCATCATCAATCTTCTTTCTATCTACTCAGCGTGCGAGCAGCTAGCCACAGCACAACACAATATTTTCTGCAGCGCAGATAGAGTCGTCTCCCTTGGGAAAATCCACGAACCCCTCATTTTATCTGTCAAACATTCATAGCGAATCAAAACAAACATAGTGAAGTACTGAAATTTATACTAGAATGGGATACGTTAATCGATTTGCTTGGGACCAATAGGCTAGTCAAGTAGTGAGCCAATTTAAAATCGTTAGTTTTGTATTGATTGTTGATTTGATGCTTTACTGTCTGCTTCACAAACGTGAACAATTAATTTTACATTATGCCGATGGGAAGTCAGTCGAGGTACGCGTGTTGCCTGCTGGGAGCACCGTTCAGCACGTGACAGTTTACGATCTACCACCAGAAGTCCCGGATAGCTTCCGCTTCCGTCTATTAACGTCTCTTTAAACTGTTCCCCTAGTAGAGGAGAATTAAGTTCATTCGAGACGGTCCCGGATAGCGATCTAGCATTGGTGCTTATTTCCCTAGTGATGTAAAGCGTGAAGTACGGGAGAACATTCCAGCTGTCTCGGACCTCGATATGCTGACGGGTGTACGGGGAATTTACATGCACGTAGAAAAGGAGATTCCAAACTCGCTGCATTTCCTCAATAAGAAGGGGAACATATTCTACCAAGGTATAAAAACTTGTGTTTCCTTCGTAAGATGGAGGAGCATCGGATAAAATCCTGCCCCAAGCGGAAGGATCGAAAGCAGCCAGTACAACAACTAACGGAAGAAGAAAACCAACAACGGAATGAGTAAGATACCAGTACGTACGCTGGTGTAATGACTAGAGGTGCATCGTCAAACGAGGAAGCAGTTGAGATCCTGGAAAAAGACGTGGTGGTAATGCATGTGACGTCCCCGTACCAGTGTTGCATTATTTCATCAATATCACGTGACAACTGACGTGCAACATGTCTCGATTCTCATTGACGAAAACCCTATTGAAATGCTGACTTGTAAAATATGATGCGAGACGACGTGCTTTGCGTCGTCAATACACTTTGACAGACAAAGTAGTCCGGCAAATTGTTTGTTACAGGCTGAGATTGTCGTAGACTGTATTTTATCTTCGTGGAGCAACATGCTTATCCTCATCGTTTCTGCTGTCGTTTTGTTGTGCTTAGTGGAATAAATACCAAATCTAACGACGAAAACAGAAGTTCCAGTTTTCCTTATTCTTCAAAGGATTTAAAAGCGTAGTTTTTAGTACTTCCCTGACCTTTCCCACATTTTCTAATGTTCCGAAAATGATCCAAATATGTAACTTCCATGAAGATCCCGCAATGTTCTGAAGTTTTCGGGACATACTTGAAGGTTTCTGCTGTTTTGCTAAAGTTTATGTGACTTCTCTGAATTTCTCTGATCATCCTTGAAGTACTCGGAACTTTCTTGAATATAATGAAACTACCAACAAATCTCTGATCTCCTTTGAAATTCTCTAGACTTTCATTCGAAGATTTCAGAACTTATTAAAAACTCTCGCATTCTTTTAAGCCGATGGAACTGTCTTGATGTTTTTTGATCTTAACTGAAGTGGCCGCATTTTTTAAGTTCTCATTTTGTTGAAGTTTTCCTGTACAGTTTCAGCAATTTCTCTAATATGTCCAGATTTTCTCCTGAAGGTCTTCGTCATCTAGATCTATTACGCTTCTGTGGTGCGCATTTAGCCGGTTTTCAACTTAGTGCTCTGATGCACTTACACAGTTATTAAAACTCTCAATGCCAGTCAATGCCACTATGCACAAAAAAGGGTAAAAGATATCAATATCTCAAGAGGACGCTGAAATTCCGGCTTTGGAAAATGAATTCCCGAAAGGAAAAAAAATCAAGGGAATCTACTGCGTCTAGTTTCAAACGCCATAGAGGATAAGAAATTTGTGTTTTGAGTCTATTCATCCCAATTTTACCTATTTTTTGAAGACATTGTTTTTTTTTTGGCTTTAATTTCTCGTAAAACATTAGTGGCCGTATGTGTTCCTTATATCGAAGACAACATATCGAGAAGACTGGCAACTTTACAAAATCCAAGCGACAGATGCAATAGCGCTGCGCTTGAGTGAAGGTGGAAGCAACGCATAGTTTAGCAAATACACAAACCTTTCTGCTGAGGATGCAATCTTTGCTATCAAATTCGTTCGTAGCATTTACCTTTCAGCGGCAGATGACGCGATTGTACCTGTCTCATAGCGTTTGTATGAGAAAATGGAAGAGTAGCCAGTCTTCTTGATTTGTTGTCTTCGCTTATATATAAATTAATGGGCATTACACTGATGCAAAATTCGACTTTTTCGCTCCACAGTGATTAAATGGTTTCAAATCGGGTCCTGAGTAGCCTCCCAAAGTTAAATCTCATTTGGTTAGAAACAGACTTCGCACAAGCCATTTGAAGTTTACATGTAAATTACTATGGGAAATCTCAACTTTTTGTTCATTGCCTTCTAGTTTTTTTTTTCATATTGAGCTGCGAAACAGTTTGATAGCCATTCTTATTGGAAATTTTCTCAGCTACAACTTTGCTCAAGATCGTTTCTATGTAAAACGAGACAGGAAAAAGTTATTAATTATTTAAGAGATTGGTAAAATTATGACATGATCAAGCAGCTGCTCTGTAGGCAACACTGTATTTTACAGTGTGACATAGTAGCCATGATTTTTGTGTCCTATTCAATGCCCCAGAAACACCAATGTTGCCTGCTGAGCAGTTGATTGAGCATGATCATAAGACATCAGCGCATTGAACCATTGATAACTTTCGATCCTTGCAATTAATCAAAAAATGGTCTACAGCAAAGTTGTAGCTGAGAAAATTTCCTACAAGCAAATTTGAAAGTTTTTGAAGCAGACCGATATGGTGAATTATTAGATAGACATGAACAAGAATCTTGGTTTTACCATAATAATTCCCATACAAACTTCAAATGGTTTGTGCCATCTCAGTTTCTCACCAAATGGGTTCAAATTTTGAGAGGTTAGTCAGGATCCAATTTGGAATCGTTTGAGTATTGTGGAGCGAAAATTTCAAATTTAACATCACTCTAATGGGCATATGTGTTCAACAAAATTTTAATGTGGATTGAAGGTTACTAAATATGTCACAAATATTTCTTAGAAGATGTGACATTTTTAAACTAAGACAACATTCATTTATGGCAGTGACAGTAGTGTAGTGGTAAACGTGAATGCCTCTCACTCCAAAGGACCTGGGTTCAATCTCAGTTAGCGCCGTCCAAATTTTGGAAGGGAAGTAAGCCGTTGGTCCCCGGTCCATGAGTTAATGGGTTGATAGTAAGGGTGCAGGTGTGGGAGCTGCCTCCCTTGCGTTAGTAGCATTGGTTCTTGGTACGGAAAAGAAATCAATATTGGGGAAAAATGCTTAAACTAAAAATATTTCTTTAGGCGTAAACCAAGCAGATATTTGAAAGACTAAATCACAGACAACTGTCTGTGACTATATGTTCAAATCCAGAGTCATGACAGTTTTATAAATAATAAAAAAGATTTCAAGGATGTTTAAGATAAAAAAAAAACATTCTATCCCCTTGGGTAGAAAAAAAAATCAAATTCAAGAATCTAGAAAATTTTCAATTGCTAAGGTTATGGATAAGAATGCCTCAATTTCTTCTATTTTTTATGACAGGACTTAGGAACATTGGTAGTTTTCTGATAATATTTGAAATTCAAAAGTTATGATACTTCAAAATCTCAATCCTTAAACGCCTGAAAATTTTACGCTAGTGAATGTCTTTTTTCATTTCACGCATCTAAATCCTTCTTTTTGCAAGAGATCTACAAAATTTGCATCAATCTTCTATCCATTTACTCATCTGGTGCTCATATAACGACAACAAAACAAAATCTTCCTCGGTAAATCCTGAAAATGTAAAATGGAAGCCGTGTTCTTCACAACATTTGTAATCCAAATATTTCCTAAGTTCATGAACTTAAATGATTTAAATAGTTAACGATCCAAAAATATTTTTTTCATCTTTGGAAAATTTCCAAAAATCCCGGATATTTGAACATTCTTTGTTAAAAATTGGAGAACACAAAAATACTAACCGCAATGTAGAGTGGTGATTTGAAAAGCCATTTAATGACACAACTCCCCTGTCTCTCCATTCCAGGGAAGGCAACCATCCGGATGACTTCAGTCGCCTAACGTACCGCAAGCTGCTCGAAGAGGTATGCCGCTTTGCCAACGTTCTCAAGGCCCACGGCGTCCAGAAGGGCGATCGCGTATCCATCTACATGCCCATGACGATGGAACTGCCGGTGGCGATGCTGGCCTGCGCCCGGATCGGTGCCGTCCACTCGATTGTGGTAAGTTTCCCATACGAAATTGTGAAAAGTCCAAGCTAATTGGAGCTGCATTTAGTTTGCAGGATTCTCGTCGGATTCGCTTGCCGAGCGGATGCACGATTGCCAAGCGAAGGTGCTGATCACCGCCGATGGGGCGTGGCGAGGAGAGAAGATCCTCCATTTGAAGGATATCTGCGATCAGGCGATAACCAAGGCCGATGAAATGGGACACCATGTGGATACTTGTATTGTTGTGGCACACATCAATCGGGTTACACCCGGCAAGCCTGATTGGGATGGAACGTTTGATGTGAGTTGTTAATTGTTCAAGCACAGTTAGGTGAGAATTTTGAAGATTGTTTTCCATTGTAGACCCCATGGACAGAGGATCGTGACTTCTGGTGGCATCAGGAGATGGAAGAAGCCGAAGCGGCTTGCTACCCAGAATGGATGGCAGCGGAGGATCCGCTGTTTATGTTGTACACCAGTGGTTCGACCGGCAAACCGAAGGGAGTTCTGCATACAACTGCTGGATATCTGATGTACGCAGCGACGACCTTCAAGATCGTATTTGACTACAAACCGCATGATGTGTATTGGTGCACTGCTGATATCGGTTGGATTACCGGTCATACCTACGTGCTGTATGGGCCACTGGCGAATGGAGCTACGTCTGTGATGTTTGAAGGAACTCCCTTCTTCCCGGATACGGATCGCTATTGGGAGGTTGTAGACAAGTACAAGGTAACGCAGTTCTACACGGCACCAACGGCGCTGCGATCTCTGATGAAGTTTGGCGATGAGCCTGTGAAGAAACACGACCTCTCTTCACTGAGGTGAGATTCGGCTAGGGATTCGCGGTAGACATCATGTTAACAACATTGTATTTCAGAGTCCTCGGAAGTGTCGGAGAACCGATCAATCCGGAAGCGTGGATGTGGTACTACAAGGTGGTAGGCAAGGAGAAATGCTCGATTGTGGACACCTTTTGGCAAACGGAAACCGGAGGTCACGTGATAACTCCACTCCCGGGAGCAACTCCCATGAAACCGGGATCAGCTGTAAGTGTAATGAGGTGATCTTCATGGGGTTGGCAATGATTGAGATTTGTTCTGTTGCAGTCGTTCCCGTTCTTTGGAGTTAAACCAACTCTGCTGGATGAAAGTGGCAACGAAATCCACGGTGAAGGAGAAGGTTATCTGGTTTTCTCGCAACCCTGGCCAGGAATGATGCGAACTCTGTACAATAATCACCCCCGGTACGAGTCTACGTATTTCTCAAAGTTTAATGGATATTACTGTACCGGAGATGGTGGGTTCTTTCTTAACGTCCCGTAGAGTGTCCAGTATTTTAAAAATCTCACCTCTTCTTCCCAGGTGCCCGACGGGATGCGGACGGCTACTACTGGGTCACAGGCCGTGTGGACGATATGCTCAACGTTTCCGGTCACCTGATGTCAACGGCCGAAGTGGAGTCCGTGCTCACTGAACATTCTCGCGTATCGGAAGCTGCAGTTGTCTCTCGGCCGCATCCGGTGAAAGGTGAATGTCTGTACTGCTTCATCACTCCGAACCAGAACGAAGCCTTTGACAAGACGCTAATCAACGAACTGAAGATTCTGGTCCGGGAACGAATTGGTCCATTTGCCCAGCCGGACGTGATCCAGCATGCTCCCGGACTACCGAAGACCCGATCTGGCAAGATTATGCGACGAGTTCTGCGGAAGATTGCCATCAACGATCGAGAGATTGGCGACACTTCGACCCTGGCCGACGAAGCAATCATTGAGCAGCTCTTCGCCAACCGACCGGTAGCTTAAGATTGTTCCTTGTACTAGTGATCTCAACGGCAGAAAGGTCGGAACGATTTGGAACTAGTTTAGAGTTTAGAGAGAACCGGTATCATACGGGAATGATATCATGACGTAAACTGACACAACTTATATCGGATATACTTACCTTAACCAATCTATTTTGGCGGGCTTAGCAATTGGCTAAGTAAGAAAGACTTTAATGGGAAACTGTAAGATCTTGCTCGAGAATGGTGCTAACGACAGTGACATGCATGGAAACCATGAACCGATTAGAAGCAGAACACAACATTTACATTATTATATATCTACTATTTCGAAATGGTCTAATACTGTTGATAAAGGATTATACACTCTAGACAAAGCATAACAAACAGATGGAATTTTAAACAACCTAAGCAGGATTCAGTGTTGAGCGCAAATGTGCTTAAGAAGACATCACATTCCGGTTGCAAGCAAAACAATGTGAAACAGTGAATCTTTTACGGAAAACTCGTCGATGTAGATGTAGATGTGCTTCGCGTACGCATACATGTATGTTTTATCTTTCTAGTTTTAAGTATTAGGCAAAGTTGTGAGAAAGTTTCGCTTGAAGCGAAACGCAACCCATTTGGAGGCAAACAGAAATCGAATGGCTTAATCTAGCAACAACTACACAAAAACCTTTAGCTTTTAAGTATTCCAGCTTGTGCACAGATAGTTTGTTATTCCATACTATATTTTTTATATTTTTTTTATAGTATCAAATAAACAGATTCTGTTTTTTAAAATACAACCACTCAAAACAATCGTAGTTCTGTCATTTTCGTTTCATCTTTTTTTTTTGATTTGGTACAAAGTCCTGGCATCACACTCACATTCACTAACTCAACCACTCTCGTTCTCACTCCTCTTCAACACCTTTCCCTTCTAATGAGAAACAAACGAAAGCTAAACAAATCGGTTTCCTCCCAAGCGACACCTAGACACATTAGACCCAACCAAACCGCCCAATCGAGTACATATCATTTCCCTTTGCAACCCCCAAATGCACCCAATTGGTGGTCAAAAGGAAACTAACTAGGCAGTAAGATAGTTTCACTCAATTCCACATCGTCCCCAGGAACGAGTTCCTAACTGTTCATTCAAGGTACATATCAAACTGATAAAAAAAAAAGTCAGTGCCTGATTGTTTGTTCCAATGAGCTGCTTGATTCTAACCACTAAGTTACTACCAAGTCAGAGGGACTCCTACGAAATACATATCACTATGCTTTAAGGATAGAAATTGCAGAGAAAAAGTATGATTAAAAAGTAACAAGAGATTTTAATCCCAATTGTTATTGTTTGGTGGTATTTTAACGTAGATACAAAGATAATTATAGAGATATGATATTGAAATTTGACAAAAATAAAAGCACGAAATTGTAGAATGTTACTTAATATGACAAAGCAACAACTACATATGATTCGAAGAGACAGAGTTGTAAAAGACTATTCGTTGTAATACTGCAACTGTATGAAGAATGGTAATAAAATATATTAAATGTAGTACTGATTCAATGACTAAATGCATATCAAGGATTTTTTATTACTGTGAAGGAATCTCGCGTAACATTTGGCAAGGACCTGTCAGCTTTTGCAAGCAAAACTTATGATGCCCTTTCTCCTATGTTTGCGTATGTAAACTAACAACACCATCGAGCAGGGGAAATTCTCCTCTTTCCGATAGGTTTCTTGGTTTGCGTAGGCGAACTTCGGTTCACGCGAAAAGGGTCTAAAATGTGTTGCTTACAAAGCTGTTAGGCCCTTTTCACATGCTACCCGAGAAATGTGAGGTATAATAAAACACTCTAGCATTTAGAGAACTTTACGGTATAATGGTTCAAATCGATTACTTTATGAATAGAGATAGTCACTGTATCAAGGGGTAATCAACTCTGAACACTGTGCCGAAACACAGCATGGCACACTGTTCGGCACGTAGGGTGTACGTTGACAAGTATGACACAAACAATATAATATAAAGTGGCAGCACTGTTGAGTTTTGTCAATCGTACTCATCACTATGGTTACTGTATCGTTTACTTCAAAGTGAAGCTAGTGACATGATTGAAAAAAAATGAAGCATCGAATGGTTTTGGCATATTCTGCAGGGCGCTGCCGGTTCTATAGCAGGGAAAATACAGCATAATATATGTTAAATTCTTTATTTCAATTCAACATTCAATCCAACTAAAAGGATACCCGCAACCGGTGTCACGGTCCTCTCGAGTGCCACGTATTCTTCCGAATCTTCCCCAACGGTTGTTCTCGTCCAGTCTCACAAATGCTTCCAAGTAGGACTTCGCAGTATGCAGCAAGAAATCACGAAATCCATCACGTTTCCCTTCGATTCACCGATGTGCGCTTTATGAAATTGTGGAATTCAGGCATCACGAACGGATGACGCTACGTATTTAGGTATACATATTATGTGTGCATCGTCCCCATATTGTGCAAGATAATCGGGGATTGGAGGCTTAGGGGCGTTTCAAATATATCATCCCCCCTCATACTCCGAAGTCAGTCTAACCCCCCCTTCAATCATCGCTTAGGTGGGATTTTTATCAGATAAAATCTAAACCAAACTAAACAGAAGGGCGATGAAACCAGAACAATTATATCCGAGGTGGTGAATATTCGATCTAGGCAATTTTCCAGCGGTCAGATAAATTAATAATGAAGAATTAATGGTTCTTTAAGTTGACACGTTGATCAAAACTTGAAAAACCTGGTACAGTGGAATTATAATTCAAAACTAAACTGACTGTTTCTTGAAAATGATCTTAAAATAAAACTTAAATAAGAAAATTTGGGTCGTCTTCAGTATGCGAATTCGGACGGCCTTAAGAAATCGGAGACAAAGTAGAATTGGCTTGTTTAACATCAAAAAATAAATCGATTTTTATATATAATCTGATGCAACGAGCACAACGATATTTTTATCGATCCCGTAGATGTTCATCTCGATTTTTAAATCAAGATTTAAATTTTTAATCATTGACACTAAATCTGTTCGTTGACAGCTCGCTTCAGTACAAACTCCCACCAAGGGGCGCTAAGATGGTGATTTTTGCAAATGTAATCGTACTTATTTAAAATAGTTCCAGTGTACCAACATTGATGAAATTTTAGATTTCGGTTCCATTTCTAATGCAAATAACGAATATGTATTTATCTCAATACCCCTAAACAACCCAATTAGTGCGTAAAAAAATAACGTTATATGGGGTTTATGTACTTCGTACAAAGAGGTTTTTGAAATTATTGTTAAATACTTCACAATATGGGTATCTCTCGAATCGGGGTGACGTGTTTGAACCGGAAATCCATGTATGACGCTATTTTGAAATCCAAGATGGTGGCATCCAGTTACAGAAAAACTGGGAAATGCTGTCAAATACCCAACAATATGGGAATTTTTATAATCTGGGTGACGTATAGGGACCGGAAATACATGTCTGACCCAATTTTGAAATTGAAATCTAGCCGATTTCGATCGGTCTATCGATTCCAAAAACACCCATATTGTGGGGTATTTCACAGAATTTACAAGCTTTTCTTGTAACCTGCGTGTTACAATTTATCCCGTTTTGTGTAGTTTTGCCGCCGAGTGTAATATTGCCGTGTTTTTCACGAGCGTGCCGTGTTTGTTATGCTTTGTTTTTGTTGTCATTGCACGGCTGGCGACATACTCACCACTATGCCTTCGTGAATAATTTTAACTTGTAAATTTTGTGCGTTATTTTATTCATTTTTTGTTGTTATTAGTTTAGTTAGATAGGAAAAAAAATTATCGTTTTAGATTGTATCACGTCCCAAATAAAATTAGGCCCCAAAAGCTCCTCCCGCTACAAAAGAAGGCGAAAACATAGGAACATGACAGTCGAGCGCGGTTGCAAGAGGACGATGGCGTTTTTTTTTTGTTATTGCGGAAGATTGTGACGTTGTGAACGAAACGGAAGAACAATTCGAGCCACGGTGGAGTGAGCGTGTGTTTTTTCGGAGACGATTTTCCCGAGATTTGGGTCCCGAACTAGCTCATCTCCTATCGGAAAGTTTTCCCAATCGCGTCGCGAGTTCAAGTACGACCACTTTTGTGTACCGCGAGTGAAAGCCGGCTCCGTAGCTGCAAAAATCACTGTACTGGTAGTGTAGTGAAAAGGGTGCCGGATCGCCATTGTGAGAAACAGGAACCATTCACTTGTCAAGATTGGCGCGTCGGAATCGGATGTTTTCTCAAACAACTCGGGAGTCCCGCAAGGCAGTAACCTAGGACCGCTACTATTTTCGATCTTTTTAAACGATGTCGCCTTGCTGATACCATTAGGATGCCGCGTTTTCTATGCAGACGATACGAAAATCTACAAAATTATTAAAAGCCTCTCGGACTGCTGGGATCTCCAGAATATGTTAGGTATTTTTGCTGACTGGTGCTCAAGAAATTTGATGAGTCTAAGCATAGAAAAATGTAACATTATTTCATATCACCGAAAAATTGAACCAATCATGTTTGACTATGTTCTCTACGGACGCTGTCTTGCTCGTGTAGGTATAAAGGATCTCGGCGTTACCTTGGACTGCAGACTCACATTCAGAATCCACTACACTGACATCATCTCCAGAGCTAATCGACAATTGGGCTTTATTTTCAAAATTGCCGACGAGTTTCGTGACCCGCTATGTCTCAGGTCACTTTACTGCTCGCTTGTGCGATCCTTATTGGAGTCAAGTTCAGTTGTTTGGTGCCCTTTCCATGCTAGCTGGATCACTAGAATTGAATCCGTTCAACGCAAGTTTGTGAGATATGCTCTTCGTTTCCTCAACTGGCGTGACCCAACGAACTTGCCACCGTACGAGGAGCGTTGCCGTCTCCTGGGAATCGAGCCATTAGAGGTGAGACGGACGGTCGCTCAAGCTATGTTCGCTGGAAAGCTGCTTACAGGTGACATTGACTGCCCAACACTGCTGTCACAGCTAAATATGTATGCCCCTGAGAGGTCTCTTCGTCAACGCGACTTTCTGTTTTTGGAACCACGGAGCCGGAATTATACACAACACGAGCCAATTCGAGCAATCAGCCGGCAATTCAACAACTTTTTTTATATGTTCGACTTCAATGTATCAGCTGACGTGTTTCGTCATCGGCTACTTGGCCTTTTCCGTACCGTTGACCGTAACTATTTAGTTTATGTTTTATTCATTTAGACAGTATTTGTCAGTTGAATTTTTCAATAAACAATAAACAATAAACAAC